TCAGTCACTCGATTCTTCTTGTTTCTCCATCTCTTTCTACTTTAGCAGGATAGTCTCTGACGGCCTCATCCCCCAGTCTGTCTATCCGTAAGCTTATGCAGAATCGACTACTACCCTTTAAACTTTAATCCAGGCTGGAATAGAGCGAGCCAGGGCTAACCAGGAGCCCGGTCGATCGATTTCACAGAGAAATTTCAAATAAACTTTCCGTCCACGTAATTTCGTTTACCTCCACACCCGGACCTTTCCACCGTTCACTCTGCCTGTCATTCTGTCCGATTTCATATTTTCCGTCAAATCACCAGCCACCACCACAGTACCCACCACCGTCTGCCTGTCGTTGATCATCCCAGAAAACCACCATTTATTTATACGATCGATCTGTTTCTTCGATTTACCTGCTTTCGCCGATACTTCGTTTCCCAATTCAACGCGATTATCCGTACGTTCGTGAAACGTCTAAATTTATTATTCACTCAGCTGGATCGCGTAGATTCCAAAGGATCGAAGAGTAGCGAGAAGGAGGAGTTTTCGAGAATGTGATCGTGGACTGGGAAGATTAGCGGAGGTATCGTTGAAAGGATTCAGGATGCCATTTTCCAGGCAACGTATCCAGTGAAAACGGACGTGTGTCTGTGGGTTACCTCTTTTGTCCCAAGCGGCCACAAAAGGACCGTTTGAAACGGTGTGCTCACCCCTTACCTTCGTCTTCGTTCAACGATCCCCGCCAGCTCTGGATCAAAACGAGTACCTTTTCACCGCGGGACAAAAGAGGTGATGAGAAGAGGGTCACGCTGGTGTCTGGTCAAGGAATTTATGATCTCGAAAAGGGGACACCGTCTACTTGACCCCATTAACGGATTACCAGTCTGGTCCATTCTCGTTGGAAAAATCTCGTTACGTTCCCATCGGCTCTTCCTTCTCTCTGTCTCCTCCTTCTTCTTCTTCCTGTGATCTCGTTACGTTGCCACAGAGCTCTCCGATGCGTCGATGACGAAGTTAGCGCAGCACTGAAACCTGCTACACTTTGCAACGAGCGCGTGTGATTCAATTATCTGCCTCTGCGGCGAGCAACAACAAGCTGCGTTCAAGTGCTGCCGAGTTTCAGCTGTTTCGTACACCCAACAAATATACAATCCGGATGGAAAAGTAGATACAACAACGGTGAAGAAAAACGGGGGCTTTCTTGCAACAGAGATGACAGGCTGCACGATTGACTTTCATACGCTGCACCTAGGAGCGAAATCTTTTTCCACCCAGACCTGTTCGTTCCGTGGAAACCTCGTAAAACAGCTTGCAGTTGCTTCTACAAGTTCGATTTAATCTCCGCTCAACGTTCTCGAACACCGTGGTGTACCACATTGTAGAAACCGCGGAGAACCTCCGTATTTCACGCGGATGACGCGCGTGTAAAAAGATCTCCCGGAGAATAATACGTCTGTGCGACGTCGGAGGAGACGGAGACGGCAGGACATTAACGACTTAACGCTAGTTGGAGATGTTTTTAAGGCTCTCGCCCAGACGTCCATTTCATCGAGTTCTCCCTTTTCCAACTGACGAGACACAGCCCGCGGGAAAGTGTTCTGATTACCCGGTTCCAAGAGACTTCCGGTTGTCGAGATAGAGGAAACGGTTCGAGGATGCGACGTCTTTCACGTGGAAAGGAGGAGGGAGTCGTCGCGATGGAAGAGGAATACCGAACGAGTTCCTCAAAGCAGGAACACGGTGAAATTAGACGCGAGATGGTGCTCTCTTTTTCGTCTGCTTCCAGTGTTCCCCTTTGAGGAGAGCGCGCCGGGTTCCTCTGAAGACGTTGATTCGCGTGGATAGGGGAAAATTTGGTGGTAGGCTGGGAGGAGTGCGTGTGGCCAACAGGTGCTTCTCTCTTCTCCTGGAGGATCGAGGTTTTTGAAAGCAAACAGACGGTGAATCTCAAGGCACACACACGCGCCTGGAGAAAGGCGGACGTTCGGAAAGAGTAAAACTACAGGTTTTCGAAAGGAAAGGGGGATAAGGATGTTGATCGTGTAGGACGTGTTGTGATTTTATCGATTTGGAGAAACGAGAAAGGTCTGTTTGCGTATACTTTTAAGAAAAAAGTGTCGGTCTTTGTCTTATTGGTATAGATCGTTCGAAAGGTACGGTCACGTGAATTTCACTTGAGAGTTTCTCGAAATGTCACCCGATTATGTTTGTTTAGAAATGCAGTGAAATTCACGAAACGCTCGCTACTGCCAGTGTTCCTTATCACCCAGGTGTGTATTATCATTGCTACTTAATTTTTCAGTATGTAGATCTACCGATGAATCACACTCATCGACTCATCGATGAGCCACCATCTACTCAATCTTTTTGCCATTATTTCGAATGGCTCGTCGATGGGTCACGTCAGCAAGCAAGAGCATTTTCAGTATGTAATCTAAAAATATGTGGATCACACCTTCAACTTAATCTTTTTTACCATCATTTCGAATGACCCATCGACTCGTCGATGACCCGCCGATGGGGCACAGCATCTACTCAATATTGATCCATGGACTTATCGATGATCCAATAGTGGGTCACACCATCTACTCGATCTTTTTTCCCATCGTTCCTAATGACCCATCGATGGGTCACGTCAGCAAGCAAGAGCATTTTCAGTATGTAATCTAAAAATATGTGGATCACACCTTCAACTTAATCTTTTTTACCATCATTTCGAATGACCCATCGACTCGTCGATGACCCGCCGATGGGTCACAGCATCTACTCAATATTGATCCATGGACTTATCGATGATCCAATAGTGGGTCACACCATCTACTCTATCTTTTTTCCCATCGTTCCTAATGACCCATCGATGGGTCACGTCAGCAAGCAAGAGCATTTTCAGTATGTAATCTAAAAATGTGTGGATCACACCTTCAACTTAATCTTTTTTACCATCATTTCGAATGACCCATCGACTCGTCGATGACCCGCCGATGGGTCACAGCATCTACTCAATATTGATCCATGGACTTATCGATGATCCACTGGTGGGTCACACCATCTACTCGATCTTTTTTCCCATCGTTCCCAATGACCCATCGATGGGTCACGTCAGCAAGCAAGAGCATTTTCAGTATGTAATCTAAAAATGTGTGGATCACACCTTCAACTTAATCTTTTTTACCATCATTTCGAATGACCCATCGACTCGTCGATGACCCGCCGATGGGTCACAGCATCTACTCAATATTGATCCATGGACTTATCGATGATCCACTGGTGGGTCACACCATCTACTCGATCTTTTTTCCCATCGTTCCTAATGACCCATCGATGGGTCACGCTAGCAAGCAAGAGCATTTTCAGTATGTAATCTAAAAGTGTGCTGATCCATCCTTAGATCACACCATCTACCCAATCTTTTCCCCCGTCATTTTGAATGACCCACCATGGGTCACACCATCCTAAACGTGCCAAAATATTGCCAAAAATCTGTCTCGTCATTAAACCGACTAGATTTACTCACCAACCCCAAAAATCGATGACTTTTCCCCCCGTAATTCAATTAAATAACACAAACTGTCTCTAACCCCTGAATAGATGCTTTCGAAGACTGGTTCCGAAAGGATCCACCCCGTCCCCAGTTTCCAAGTAATTTCGTGTATCAAAGACGAGAACGAGCTAGCCGAGCTCTGCCTATCCCAGACGGGATATCGGGTATTCGACTGTCGAGAAAGTCGATGCCCCTCTCGGTCACCCTTGTCGTCGGCTTTGCACCACTTTACCGCAATTTCCGGTGTCGCTTTACCAGAGTCTCTCACCACTGTGTGTGCGTACATATATATATATGTATATCTTTTCCCTATCCGTGTGGAGACGTCTCTTCTAGAGAAATTCGGTGGAATCGAAGGCGCGTGGCGTTCGAAACAAGACGCGTGAAAAAAACGAAGCGGAGAGAAGACCGTGGTCGTAGCGCAACCTGTCTTCTTTGGTAATCGCGACAGGCTCGTGAGTCATTGCGTGGAATTCGCAAGACGAGTCTTGCTTTGCCATGCTCGTTGTGCAACGAACTCGTCGTCGTCGTCGTTCACTTGCCTCTTTTCATGCCTCTACGATAACGTGTTTACAAGATCAACGTGTACAACTGAGATGAAGATCGCTCGTCGATTATTCGTTGCGAAGAAAAAAAAGGAAGAAAGAACGGAGAGAGAAACGAAATTGCAATTTATTAACCCTTTTGCTACGGCAGATTGTGCGGTGACTGACGGGAAATTTTTAACCACAGCTGCAAAATTTCTTATTTTGGCCGTGTCGTTTTAAAATTCGGTTTATTAACAAGACTGCCACGCTAGATTTGCATATTTTGCTCTGGGGGCCAGAAGAAAATTTTCATTGTTCTAAGCGTAATATTATATTACGCTTTATTATTTTTTTTCAAATTAAAAGTAACGAAATTTTTAGTCGACGATGCTCATTTTATTTTAATTACTCGAAACATTTGAGGCCCTCCGGTCACAGGTGACCAACGTGGCAGTCACCGTGTTAAATTAAGGCGGAAGTGCGTGAAGGATAAAATCAAGTATCAATTCTTTGCAATCGAACCCCGGGATATTCCCGGCGTTTTTACCTTCTCAACTTTCTGTGGACCCTTTGCCTGCCGAAACGGGGGGGAAAAAGTAACAGCACACAGCCTGAACAGACTCGTTTGAATAAAATTTATACGTTTTTCAGACAATAATCGACCGAGCGCGCGCTACCAAAAGATAATTCCGACCAATAAGATTACCATGTCCACGGAAACTACGATTGCAAAGAGCTAAATTAAGGTGCAAGTGCACAAAAAGGCTCCAACAGTATACTACAAGGAAATTTTCGAAATAGTAATCAAAAGGGTTAAAGACAACACACGGTTTTAATCATGCGTCGACGACGGGGTCGGTGAACATACGCGTGATACGGTGAACCAATAAGATGACCAACGGCTTGGAAGCTGGCGACTTGTATCTGGCGCGATACCGCGACGATCGTCAGGGTTTCTTTCCGCAGGTGGGCACAAGTTCGGTAACACAGGAGTCACAGTTCTTCCTCGGAGAAGCCATCACGCACGGTCTGTCGTCCGGACAATCCGGAGCGTCCGTGCAGCTCTTCCCCGGCAGCTGGATATACTCGTCCTTTGCCGTAATCACGGCACAGAGTGTCGCCGCGATGAAAACCAAAGACAAGAGGAACTTCATGTTCCGTCGGATATTCTGGAAGAGTGTTACGTTTTTGTGTATTAGTGCGAGTAACGTTTAACACGATGCAATTATGCGCTCTACCCGGTGCACTTAGAGTTGTCTTATCGGATGGAACGGGTAATTCGAGCGTTCCTTTTAGCAACTAAGTGTTCACTCGGTGGCGATTAAAAGCGGAAAGTAATCGAATCGATTTGCCGAAGGGACACGAGACGAGGAGTTCACGTGCAACAGATCGACGGAGTGTCTCGCGATCAGGTAGAATGACAAACTAGTTTACCTGTCGTCGCGGGAAGAGATACCGAAGGTGGCTGGCTGGCTGGCTGGCGACGATGAGAACACGCACACGCACGATTCCTCTCGCGATAGAAGGAACGGACGGTTCTCGAATGATAGTTGGTAATTACTCGCCGTGATCCTGATGGTAAGTGGTCCCGAATGTTTGGACATCTTCGGAGGGAACCGGGGACGATACCTGGTGTGCGTGGGGAGTGAACGACGGTTCTCGAATGATAGTTGGTAATTACTCGCCGTGATCCTGATGGTAAGTGGTCCCGAATGTTCGGACATCTTCGGAGGGAACCGGGGACGATACCTGGTGTGCGTGGGGAGTGAACGAGAGCAGCGGAAACGCATAAACAATGATCGCGTGTGTACGGACGAAGGTATGATTAGTTTATAGATTAAGTAAATATAGCTGTACATAGTAAATAACAACCTGGTGTACAATTTTTTCGACTCACCACCCCCGCAACAGATTCTTCTCTCTCTCTCTCCTCTATCTATCTCTATCTCTCTCTGGACGCGAGCGCGCGCTCTCACGTGGCCAGGAATCATTAGCGGTTCGTCGTCTCGTAACGTCCGTCATGCACGGTTGCCTCCGCGAAGGACACTCCGGAACGATGCCGCGTAAACATGCGTTTTCACCTCTCTATCTCTCTCTCTCTCTTTTCACGCTCGAAATGCCGCGAACGCGACGAAATTAATGAGGACCGCTGGCGATAAGGATGAGTGTACGATCGTCTGGGACCTGTTCCCATGAGTCCTTCATGACTGCGCGTAGAGAATCGGTAGAATCCTTGGTTCATAAATGCTTCTCTCGCAGAAAATTCGAGGTTGACAATTCCGATTAAATCTGGGCGGAAAGATTCTTTCGTCGGATAAAATTAACGAAGCAGGACAACGTAGACCGTGGAGACAGGAAGTTTCGAAAGATCGGGAGTATCGATGCAAGGACAACCCAGCAAGAAACTTAGGATTAGCAGATCACTCTAGCCTTGACTAGAAGTACACGTATCCAGAAGTTTATCGAAGAAACGGCCGAGGTTAATTCGCCGTTCCAAGGGTCAATTAAACGAACCGAGTCCAGTCTGCAATCAGGACGGTGCTTATCCGCCCATCTCTTCTTCTACAGCCTTGGCCGCGACAGACGAGTTGCGTCACGAGACGAATCAAGAGCGAAGAGGTGTCTGAATCACCTCGGAATACTCGAATTACCTGTCCGGATGCGATGAGTACTATCGTCTGCAACAATGTTTCGTAGACCGGCAAACCTGAATCTTTCCAACGGTCCAGTGTCGGATATCTCGTACAAATATCGTATCTAGATCTCATTTATCAAATACCTACGACCTACATCTACGATGTAGACACGAGTAACTTCAATCCCTCGTCCACCTTTTCAGAAGGCAAAACTCTCGACCATCAGAGGGACAGTTTTTTTTAAATTTCTTTTCTTATTCATTTCGCGGTCTTTGAGCATCAGCTCATCAGAGGGACAAATTAAACTAGCCAAATATCAAACTTGAAATCCCTTATCTGCTTCGTTATCCTCTTAATTACTGAACGCCAGTATAGGCGATCTTTTTGAACGCCATTTATTCATCTATAACTCTATTCTGATATATTTTCACAGTAGAAATCATCACCAGACACAAATCGCAGTACTACATTATTCAGGCCCATTTCGCGTCAAACCGTACAAAGATACAGCACCGCGGAAAATCCAACCGTAGCCAAGAGCTTAAACGTCTCTAGCACTCCAGAAGAGAAAAATCTCTTAAAATATCAACCTCCCTGAAAATTCCTTCCCAAAGTTCCTATTCCTAAGTCTCATCAGGAGGTCCAGAAACTCGTCCTTCCTTCTCTCCTTCCCTATCCAACCGCCGCAGGTCCCTTGAACTGTGCAACTTTCTCTCGATGATCGATAGCTGATCGAAGGATCCCTCTGACTATGTTGCAGCTGCACGCAGCCGCGCTGTCGTCGCTGCGTTCCGAGGTCACCGAGCTGAACTCAAGGCTGGCGGCCGCGACTCGAGCGAGGGAGGCGGCCGAGACGGCTATGATGCGCGCGGAGATGCTGGCAGCTCGAGCGGAGCAGAGAGCAGAGCAGCAGGCGGCAAGGCACGAGGAGAGGCTGACCGAGTTGCATTCCGTGATCGCCGAGCTCGGCAGGCAGCTCGAGAGGCATCGAGCTACCGTAATTGCCGAGGAGGATGAGTCCGGTAAGGGAGAGTAACACGACGCGCGCGCGCGCTCGATTCCGTAAATCTGCTCGTACGCTGCTCTAGCGGCAGAGATTTATGACCCGGAGGATGTCGACGCTCGTTTCTTCTCCCCTCTTGCACTCTGCTCGAAATTCCAGATTTCCGATAGGAACAAGTGCTTTAGCTAATCTCTGCCGATCAAGGGTTGTTTCGAGTGTGCGCGTGTGAAAGGAGAAATTGAAGGAATTTTTTCAAAATTCACATTCTACGGGTAATTTGCAGAAATAGAGACGAGCAGAGACGCGGAAGGATCTATCACCAATCCGGTAGAGGAGAGCGAAGGCGGTGGAGACATTCAGGGTGACGGAGATCGCACCCTAGGCGACGCAGATTCCAGCTGCTGCGAGGACATCGAACCACGCACCGTTGAGGTACTTTCGAACAGCTTACAATCGCTCACCATTCAGTTTCTTGTCCCATTAACGAACTTGTGCAATCGAACTTGCGTCCAGATACAAGGAGTTTAATTGCGTTGAAACTACCTTAGCAGAGCAAGTACGGAAACTTGTTAAATTTCCAATCTAAACACTGCCAGGTGGTATATACATACAGAAGCTTGGCAACAAGACAAATGACCGTTGAGTCTTTGGCGAAATTTACCGGCAATTAAGCAACAATTTGCATCGACAGAATGGCAGGGAGCAACTGGACAGTCCAGCGGCTTTACCAACACCAGAACCAACGCAGCAGGACGCCTCGTGCCAGAGTGTGGCCGTAGCAGCGCTGCAAGAAGAGGTCACAGCCCTTCGAACGGAGATCGCGAGCTTGCAGTCTCAGCTGGTCAATTTCAAGAACCAGGCTAGCAATCAGAGGCAACAGGCTGGCAGCGAGTCGCCCCGTAGAGAGTCACGAGTGGGTAACAATTTGACCCGTTGTAACTTTCCACCAGGACAATACGAGATACAAACGCACACATACACACACAGGAGGAATCGATTCTTTTTCATCTATAGAAATATCCCTCTCTCGACGTTTTCTAAAGAATTCTCCTTTACATTGATAAAAAAGAAAAGTATGATAAAAGTTCTTTTCATCTTGATACATCCGAAATGCATTTTCCCCCAGGGTGGAATGAACCACTGAATGTCGAACGAATTTTTCGCATCGTTACCCCGTTCCTCTGGCCAACCCCTTTGATCAGGCAACACCATCACACAAAAATATTTATCAACCCTTCCGTACGTAATGTTTCCTCCGGTGGTGCTCCTTTGATTTCACGCAGACAAGAGGCAACACCAGCTCGCCGGAACCTTTGAGTGCACCTTGCTCGCCACTCTTGCCGCCCCTGCAGACACCGCCGACAAAGAGCGTAACGAGGGAGGAAGCACCGGTTCTCAAAATAGCCGAGAGGGTGAGACTCAGGAGAACCGACGAGAGGCACATCACAGGACCCGATATTACCAACCTGGGGGTACGTTATCGTCGCCAGTTGTCCGCCAGCTTTCGTCAACCTACCAATTGTCACCGGCCGATTTTACGAATTTCTCAACAATGCTTCTTCTATATATAATAATAAAACATACGACAAAAATCCAATTTTAACCGTTCCTTTATTTTCCGCTTTACAAACTTAAGCAGGTATGCTCTACGATGGTAGCGGAACACCTGGTGTCGGATCTCCTCGAGCATTCGAACATTCAAGAATTGAACGGCTCGGAGAAACAGTTCGAAGTGGAGACAGAAAGGTTGAACAGCAGGCTAGAACACGCGCGAGCCAATAACGCGGTACTTGCGTTGACTTTGCACGAGAGTAAGGCACAATGCGACAGGTATTTTTTTCTTTTTTTTCGAAATTCTAGTTTTGGAAGATTAAGTACAGGTATATGGAAATATATATGTGGTTTTCCATGTGTTTCAGATTGAGTCTTTTAGTGGGAAAGTATGAATCGAATGCTACAGCTTTACGACTAGCTCTGTCCTATAGTGATCGTGCAATAGAAGCTTATGATGTTCTGGTAGCACTACTCGAGAGTGAGATCGCGTTGTCTACTGAAAGGAACAGCATGACGATTGATAATAGACGGGCAGCTGAACACGTGGCCTATCATGTTTTAAGTAAATTGGAGAATGAGTGTATGAACACCTTGAATCCACCCTGGGACGATAGTATAGTCCTGTCGGACGAGTAAGTATGTCGTAAGGTACCGATGAAGATTCTATTTTTTGTTAAACCGTTGTGTTACAATTAGTTCCGAAGTGGCTTGGTGCGTCGACGACGAGCAGAGATTAAGAAGACACATTAGTACACTTAAGGGGGATCGAGCCATGGTTAGGTCGACTGTGGTGGAATTAGAAAGCGTTCACGCAGAGCCTTTAAATTCCAAAAACACTATCTCCCTCGCTGAAGCACGGAAATTAGATTTAGAGACCGCAGTACTTATGCAGGTTCGTCCGTGTCTTCGTTTAGTTTAGTCTTTTTAGTTTCCTCGAGTTTCGAGAATATATATATATATATAGTGGATGTAATAAATAGGAATTGATGGCTATGCGCGAGGATAAGGCGGAGTTAAGAGCACGTGTATTTCTATTGGAAAAAGAACGAGCCACCATAGAGTTGAAATTAAACTCGAGAGATACGCAAATTGCAGCCCAGCATGCTGCTATTGAGCACCTTCAGGGTCAACTCAGCGATACTGAGGCCATGCTGGCTATGGCTACGAATAAAGTATGAACTTAATATTGAAAATAAGAATACTGTTCCTTTTCTTTTTTTTTTTTTTCAAAGTGATAAATGTGAATTATGTACGAATGTAGGATCGAGGTGTAATAAGCGATAACGAGAGCGAAGGCATGGAATCCGAGTTGATAGAAGCGCTAGGAAGAGAGGCTAGGCTAAAGGAACGTCTACAGGAATTAGTTTCTACCTTGGATAAAGTTAACAAGAATTCCGAGCTGAGGCATCAACAGTCGGCCGAGCTTGTTAACGATTTGAAGAGAGCTAATGGGTAATTAAGTTGTGGATAAAAAATACTTTATAAAAAATACTAATTCTTTTTTTTTTTTTTGGTTTTCTTGTGTGTTCTCAGAACTCTGGTACAAACTTTAGAGAAGTCTAAGAAAAAATATCAATCCAGGTTAAAAAAATTGGAACAACAAATGTTGGGCATGGTAGAGAGACATGCAGCACAGGTATGAACAAGCATAAGTGTGGCGTGTGGTGTGAAGAAAATTAAGAACAACTGCTAGAACTTTATACATTTGTAAAGCACTATTTATTGTTGCATTTTTGTACATGGTTTTACATAAATTACATTCTACCTATCTTTGATAAACTGTGTCAGTCTTCAGGAGGCCTGTAAAGGTAAAATGCATTACTGAGGCTCCTGTACCCGCGATAGTTCAATGTTGAGGTCAAAATGTTCTCCTTACTACTCAATTGATACAATGGACATACTCGCGAGTTCCACTTTCGTTTCTTCATTTCTTGTCAAAATTTTCAATGGCTTAAGTTTCCGTTTCCATTTCTTGTAATCTTCTTTCAACCACTTCTTCTATTCGCCTCTTTTTGTACGTTTTGTAAAAGTTAACCTCTCCGACATGCCAGTTTATCATAGTAAACTCTATCAAAGCGCCTCCAAGAAGAAATATTGGTAAGAATCGATATTCCCCGAGAAATTGTCCAGGCATTATCTGTACAAATCTTCTAATCTTTTTCTTTAAATCGAACATCATTCCGATTAGCAATGCACTTCGCCATACTCTTTCTACCGACTAGTTATCGCCATCTTGTTTTCCAGCATAACGTAAGCTGTGCCTGATTCTGCGCTGTCGCATTTTATCATCCTAATGGCAATTAGCGGTGTAACTAAATTAGTTGCAACGATGCTTTTACGATAAAAAAAAACATTGTTTTTCCTTTCAAACATATGTTGATTTATAGGTAAAAACTCTAAAACAACGGATAGCGTTGCTAGCGGAGGAATCGGCAGGATACAAAACGAGTTTTCCACTTCAATCGCAGAGTTCTGGCGCCAGCGAGACATCGTTATGACAATTCAGTGATTAATGGAAAACAATTAATACACGGGCTCTACGAGTGTTTTTACTATCCTTCCTCTCGTTACGAAACGATCGAAATGGAGATGAAATTTACGTATTTTTTTACACGGATAGTTGCCCAAGAATAATGCTTGATTATTCGCTTTTGTAATTATATATAAAGAAAAAAAATTACGAGTTAGTAGCTGTCCTAACAAATTAAATTACAAGCTAGGCTTACGCGAAATTCGCTGCTGATACATCAATGCAAGCAAACTATTTAAGAAAGTCCTCCAAGTATACTGTGAATTATAAATAATTGTTACATGATACTATATGTCATTTATAGACGGTGATATTCATCTTGTAAATATGTATATTTCAAGCATTAAAGAAAAGCGTGATATGTGTAAACTATGACGAAATAAATTGTGCTTTATTAAATCTGGTATTATAAGTGAAGCTTTCAATTACAAGCAACTTGAAATAATTTCTTTATTTTATATATTGTATTATGTTTGAATCTTGTTCAATTATTCCCTTCCCTCTTCCTTTTCTCTGATTCAACAATAGAAAAGTTCATTATCTAACGGGATAATATAAGGTGCTAGCAATAATTACGTTATAGGATTAATTTATTACATTTTTTACACTGCCTTATTTCTGATGAAGTTCCGATAGTCTTTTTTGAAATGCTACTTCTATAAGATCATCTAAATCGTCGAGTGGCCTATATATAAGATGCACCATTTGAGAACCGGTTGCCATCGCAAGAAATGCTGCAGTAGAAAAGCAAATAAATCGAGGCCATGATAAACCATACGGCATTGTGTCGATTACCTGCAAACAAAAATACGTGAAATTTATTTATAATTCCATTTTCATTTCTGAAAACCCCTGCAGTATTTCAATTACTTTTTATATATGTAGTTACCGAAAGTTAACCTCTTCTATAATCGTTCGACACCGCCTCAACATTAATAACGGTAGATTAATAGTATATTTTTATGAATTATCTTCTAAGATATTAATTTGTTACTTTTATTCATTTGTACGCGTCTGTCAATGTATTTTTTCGAATGATTACTTTTTAATCAAACACCGCTTTGTACAACGTTCACCACGATTTACGCAATCCTTCGCATTTCGACGTATGTATATATATGTAACTATGTTAAAAAACACGATAGATAGGATTACACAATTTCTTAAACAATATTTAATTAAAACTAATATATTTAAATATATCATACAAAATATAGTCATTTATAATTTTATACAGTGATTTTATTATACAACTTTTAAGCTTCTTGATTTTCTTGTTCTTGCTGATCCATTTCAGTTGCCATAACCTCTGTGGCACTTTTCCCAGGGACATCAGGTTCTTCCTCCCCTGGTACATCATTAATTTCCACACCTTCACCTTTGTTCAACATAGACTTCTGTATTTCTTCCTCTAAATGAACACATGCTTGTTCAATTTCGTAATTCTTTGACACCAGTCCAACCCACTGTGCCTCTAATGCCCTCAATTTTTCTCCTCCTTGAGTTTGCATAGATTTTCTTTGCCAATTCACCTCTTGAATCTTTTTCCTTAATGCTTGCAATTGTTTTTGTGCTTGACTTACTAATTGTACTAATATTTCTAAATAAGATTTCCATGCTTCACAGCCATATTCCATCATTAACTCAAGATTGCAAATTCTGTAATATTATTTTTGTAATATGTAATCTTCACAATAAGAGCATCAAGTATAAAAAGTGTTTACCGTGTAGCTTGATGTTCCAATTGTGCACTACTGTTTTCTACACTTTCGTTCCAAGCTGCAAGATCATTCATTTTCCCTGGAGGAGGTGGAGGTAATTCATAACGTTTCATACTGAGCACTTCCATGGGTAAACGATTCTGCATTCGCTCGAATTCATGTTTCATTACTTCTGTTTCAAAAGCAGTAATATTCAGTGGTGGCAAGTGTTCTAAATAATTTTTCGTCGGTCTATATCGACGCGTCTCTTCTTCAACCATAGCCAAGGCCTGAAATATTTATTAATTATTCATCAATTGTTAATGTATTTAAGAACAAAATATAAATAATATAACCTCGAAATATTTCGTCTTTAAATTATTATAAAGAAATTTCAGTTACCGCTTCTCGGACTCCAGGTTCATCGTATCCCTGATCAATATACGGTAATGCGTCGACAACTACTTCCCCCGCCATTTAAGGAAATATTTGGTAAATAAACACCCTTTTACATCAAAGTCCGTCAACCTTCGTTAACCAGTCAACAAAATTTAAATTCTATATGACGTATTTCCGATTAAACAACTTTTACTTAAGAAAGTATTCCTTCTATACTTACCAATCGTTTACGTCATTTCCCCTAGAACTGACTTCCTATTGGTGCATGACTATGAATTTATGAATACTCAAAATTAATTTTTATTGCGAGAGAAAAGTTCAATTAAATAAAGACATTAGAAAAAATAATGACAATATTTCATTCTTAAATATAATTGATTTATTGTAAATAAATATTTATCGAAGAAAGTGTAATTGTAAATGGTGCTTAAGGAAAAGTAGGTTCTGAGCATGCGCGAGTTATACTGTGTAATTTCCGCTCGCGTCCTTCTTCCTTTATGACCAGATCGGGCGAGTAGGCTTCCTGGTTAGTTCATTTCTGATGCATGAAAAGCTATAAAAAGAACGCGAGATGGTAAGAAACCTTTTTTTTTATTAATATTTTCGTATAGATTGATACTTCGTTTAATTTTGCGGCTATAGTACTCCAATAGTTGTGAAAATTTCTTATTGAACGTAGAGTTGTACCTACCGCATAGTCGACCACGTGTAACGAGTTATAGTGTACAAACTAGCACATCCTGGTTTTACAATATGTTTGTATATAATTTGTAAATTCATATAATTTCTTTTTCAATTTACCAACGTGTATAATTGAGCTACATTAACATATACAAGAATATTCGTATTAAATTCAATATTTTCGATCTCACTATTTAATTGAACTAATATTTGATAATTTTGCATTTTTTATTTTACAGTCGTTATCAACGGCGCGACCATTAGTTACGGTCTACACCGATAAAAATGAATCATCGGGCGAATCAATTTCTCTGCCAGCTGTGTTCAAAGCACCAATTCGGCCTGATATCGTAAATTTTGTTCATCAACAAGTTTCGATGTTTACTTTTCGTTTTTTCAAGAACTAATACGCAATTATTAAATGTAGGTTTCTTTTATTAGGTCACCAAACCTCCGCTGAATCATGGGGTACGGGTCGTGCTGTAGCTCGTATTCCCCGTGTACGCGGTGGTGGTACGCATCGTTCCGGCCAGGGTGCATTTGGTAACATGTGTAGAGGTGGACGCATGTTTGCACCAACAAAGCCCTGGAGACGTTGGCATCGTAAAATTAATGTCAACCAGAAAAGATATGCTCTGGTATCTGCCATTGCTGCATCTGGTGTTCCAGCCCTTGTACAATCTAAGGGTAAATAGCACTTCAAAAGATAAACTAGTTAATTTTTAAATTAATAAAGTACTTTCATGATGATTACCTTTGGTCCGTGTTGCTGAGTGCCACTGATATTAATTCCATATTACCTGATAGATATAAACATTTCTTTTTTTTATAACTTGCTTCAAGTAGAACAATAGTTACATTTCTTTTTATCTTCAGGTCACATGATCCAAGAAGTTCCAGAATTCCCTTTGGTAGTATCAGACAAAATTCAAGAGTATAACAAAACCAAACAAGCTGTTATCTTTTTGAGACGTATCAAGGCATGGAATGATATTCAAAAAGTAGGTATATCTATTATCGTTTTATTTATGCACTGTAGAATGTCCGCATCTTTATTAAAACAATTTTAATTCAGATGCCCCTTATCAGGTGCTAGATAAATACGGTTGTATTGTGGCGTTCTTGACTAGCTAAATTCAGTGCTAGGAAGGGGCAATTTTAACCAAACAGATAAATTAAAACAATAATGATCAAGGTACTATATATATATATATGTTTGATTTATTGGTAGGTGTACAAGTCTCAACGTTTCCGTGCTGGTAAGGGTAAAATGCGTAACCGCAGACGCATTCAACGTCGTGGACCTCTGATTGTATACGGTCAGGACCAGGTAAGGAAGTGCTTAACAAATTTTTTTTAGCTTTAAAATATTGATACTTATTTTTCTATAATATCTTCAGGGTATTCGCAAAGCTTTCCGTAACATTCCCGGTGTTGATCTTATGAATATCAACAAAATGAACCTCCTAAAATTGGCACCTGGTGGTCATGTTGGACGATTTGTAATCTGGACAAAATCCGCTTTCGATAAATTGGATGCCCTCTACGGAACCTGGCGCAAAGAATCTCAGCTTAAAGCTGACTACAACTTACCCTTCCCCAAGATGGCCAACACGGATCTGTCAAGACTTCTGAAAGCCGAAGAAATCCGCAAAGTTCTGAGAGCACCGAGGCATGTAGACCTATTAATACGACAATTTGTATTAACAAAAATATTTTGTTCATGTATGATGATCTTTTGGTCCGTGTTGTTGATTGACAGTGATAGTATTTGGCTCTTATTCTGATATTTAGTACCTAGGAACTTTTTATCATCACGTTTCGTTTAATATCTTTATCTAAAAGATAAACTTCATAATTACAGGAAGAAGGTTGTGCGCAGTATCAAGAAACTGAACCCACTGACTAACACGCGCGCGATGTTGCGTCTCAACCCGTACGCCGCTGTTCTGAAACGTGCTGCGATCTTGACAGCAAAGAAACGTCAACAAGACAGGGAAGTTCTTCTTGCAGAGAAGCGTGGAGTAAGTTGACGCTCTAGTGTTTATCAGTGTGATTTCAGTGTATAAAGATTTCGATAAATCGTGTTTTTTATTCGTAGATCCAACTGCCAAAGAGTACACCAGCAGTAAAGACCAAGTTGCTTCTGGAGAGACGTAGAAAACAGAAGTTGGCCTCGAAGGCAGTTAAGGTTAAAAAACCACCAACAGCGAAGAAGGCAACACCAGCACCCGTAGCTAAACCTGCGAAAGCAACCAAAAAACCGAAGAAAGTGGCGAAGAGTGCAGAAGCAAAGGCTGCAGCACCAACAACAGCAGCACCAGCACCAACACCAACAACACCAGCAGCACCAGCACCCGCAGCACCAGCACCCGCCAAGAAGTAACAAGTTTCTATCAACAATTCGTTGTTGATCCACAAACTTTATTTGTTATAAATAAACTATGGGAAGACAACTCGACAGGATGACCATTCTTGTAACCGATGTATAACTTTGTATTTCTTACCTTCGCCTATGAAGCTTTTTTTAGGTATAAACATGAATATGTAGCCATAAGTATACATAGAGTATTATGTATGTCTTTTTTTAATTGGTGCACGCATAAAGATCGTGTCATTAAGTATTTCGATCGACACCTCCTTTGCGTTTGCTTCATGCGGTATTAAAAAGTTTAGATTCTTGACATACGATAAATCGTCGGAACTGTGCAATTTTATGTTCAACATGTTATCAGTCGCTAGAGTAGCTGTTTCAACTTTCAATCCCGTTGTCATCATTTCTGCCTGTAATTGTACAATGATATATACATACATATATATCAAATAGATTCTTCAATTAGAAAAATCCAAATCAGAACCGTACAGCATAGTATTCTTTATTATCAATCACATAAAAATTCGGAACCTTTTCAAATTTCATACTCATCTTACGTCCATCTAACACCATTTCAAAATTCATAAAGTCATTTTGCTTTAGGGTTATTGCATTTTCCCGACAGTGTTGCGGTAGATTGTCCATATCGATTATTAATATACTATCTTCAAAAGTTGCGTTACAAAAATTTGACACGTGACATTTTTATGAATCAACTACACGAAGTTGATCACGTAACCTTGAGAACCATCGCCAGTCTTCTGTCGTATCGAACTTCAATACTTCGGTAGTCTGACTATCGAACCTATCTTCTCAACTTTTCTCCATGTATTTCTTCCTCGTTTTGCTAGGTTTTATCGCAGGAGCTGTAAGCACTAGCATTCTCTTCTTATTATCCACCACAGCTCGAACTTTCGCGGAGTCTATTTCTTCCGGTATGAGTAAATTCTCACAGTGCCTCGACATTCTTCTCATCAGATCACCGAAGATCGATTTTTCATTGATCTCCGCTAAACTGCACAAAAATTCGTCGTTCAATGGTTTACATACGTTCACGCGAAGATTACACCCTTTTACTGTTATTTTGATAGAAGACAACTCCAGTTCAGGTGCAAGCATCATTTTCGCCTGGAATACAACAGATGTACCATCAGTTGGACGTAATTCTATAGCATTGTCGAAATATTCATGAGTTTGCCTAAACCTCGAAAACGTTGTCTTCTCGGACGCCACTAGACACGATTTGCATTACGTAACTGCTTTCTATCGGTTTCGCGGTCATCTTAGCTGGTTCTTGTTTCCGCTCCTCTTGCTTCAGATTTACAAAGGGAGGTCTCTGTAAAATTTTCAACGAAGTCAGGCATTTAGAACAGTGTCCACTGTCCGTTATTACGTCTCCATCGCACTTCAAACATCGACTTCGTCTCGTATCCATGTTTCAGGTTGTTTGAAATCGTATGACGTCATCTCACGAAAATCACGTTCGATCGCGAAAGAGAGCTCGAGAACAGCGTTTAACAGATGCAATAAGAAATTTTACACGATATTATCGGAACGATAAAACGCGGTCTGTACGGGAACGAGATTTACTTGTCAATTTAGAAAAGCGTGTCGGAGTGACAGGCGAGGATCAATGGAAAAAACAAAGTAATACAGGCAGGTTCTCATTTTCAATTACAATTTTCACTCCGGTACGCCACGGTATCGGCCACGAAATATAACCCAACTTTTTAACATTCCAATATGAATAAAATTAACAATTCTAACCCAATTACGTTTCGATATGCGTGCACATACATGATCCAGCGAATCGTGACAAATTGATTCGGAAATTCGAGGGAACGAAAGCCTCGCGGTTTAATTTCATCATCGCGGTTAATTGCGGTCCGCTAATCGAAGCGAATTTACAATCGAAAGCGGACGGACCTATTCGATAGTCGAATCGAGATAAAGGGAGGGGATGAGAGAGAGGCAGAGAGCGAGAGGAAGCGGGAACGTTGGTGAACAGCAAAGCGGTCCACAGCCTTGTACAAGCAGCCAGTTTGTTTAACATTCGTGTCCTGCATTGTTTGAAACGCCTGCGCGAATTTCCTTGGGAATGGACGCGGCGCTGGTAGGGGTAGCGCGGGATTCAGGGTCGAAATTGCACGGTGGTTGAAAAGCATCGGACACCAGTCGAGGACAGGCGGTCCCGCGTTTAAGTGGTCCATCAATTCCATGTCGCCTTTGGCTCTGTTCTTTCATTACGGAGTTCTGGCCATCATTTTCGGGAACGGTAAGTCCTACCATTTATACATTTCTCCGTACAATTTCAATATGGAACTTTCTCCACGAAATTCGACGAATATTTCACGTACATTTCAGACAACTGTTCAAAATAAAACCTGTCGTGTATTAAACGTTCGTGTAGTGTCTTCGAGTGAGAAATTGAATTTCGTTTCATCTTAAAATAAGTGTTCGATAGTTTCCGTTGTATTTAACGTGACAAGTCATTCTTACTAAAAGATTTCAATTTATTCTTCGTTTTAAATATACTTCAAACTGTCCAAGCTTCTTTTCTCCGTGAATTCAAGGATCGCGTGTGTAGATTGAATTTCTTTTTTTCGGAAAATTGATCGATGCATAAGGTAACCGGGCGGAGTGTAGAATAAACAGAGCGAACGAAAATGGTTCTTTTCTCCTTGATCCGTAACACGTTACGGAAAGTCGGTAATCCTGTTTGCATACGGGATTCAATATCGATGCGTACCTCGAGATGGAATCGAAGTCGCCGCGGAAAGTACTGATTAAGGACGCCGGCATCGTGATTAGGGGCAATTTCTTCTATCTGTCCGGTAACTGGATTGACCGGGGACGACAGGATTTCGCGTCGATTGAGCTGTAAATGAGTTTCTACCTTCGAAAATTTTCCCGCCCCCGAAAACTTCCTCGTCCTTCGCCCTAATCTAATTTCCACGCTTCAACATCTTCCAGCCATATTTTTCCATCCTCTTCTTCTCTCGCCTCGTTTCATTCAGAATTTTCTATTAATAGCTGTTGCAAATTCACCGTATATTCCACGTCTCGCATGAAAATCGCGCATATACCAGCGACGCTAGAAGCATCTTTTTACTTTTTCAAAGGCTGTATTCAATTTTTCCGCGGATTTATCAAGGTGGAAAAATTCGAAGCAACGCGTGTCACTTCTCGAACACACGGAGATTTAGGTGTTTGCTTTTATTAGCCGTATCACGATGGAAAATGATACCTTAGGAGCGGAGGGTTTCTCGTTAGGATGCAAATAATAAATTGCCCGGAACTTCCTGCGGGTTACAGATAGCTCGTGCAAGTGTTTCAGCTGCATCTTCTCGAAATAAACGACCGTTGGAGTTGTATCGCGTTTCTAAGCCACCGAAGAATTATAGGAACAATGGCGACCCTTTCGGTATTAACGGTTCAAACGACGGATTTCAGATTTCTTGCTTGAAATTGGGGGGATTATTGAGATACACTTTTCTGCTGGTGTACAGAGATTTTTGTTGAAACGAAGGAGTAATTGGATAATCGGGGGTAGAAGTGGATTCGCATAATTGATTCAGAGCCATCGAGTTTCTATCGCGATGGTATTTGCAAGCTGATGGCAAATTTTCATGCTATTGGAAATGGGTTATGAGTAAGAAATAGTCTTTTAACTTTGTAGTATACTTCCGTACCACAAACCAAATCAGCTAAATACCTGGGACTACACTTGGATTCAAAATTAACACGGAAACAACACATACGTTCTAAGATCGACCAAATCCGCATCAAGAGGAGAAACATGTGCTGGCTTACATGCGAAAGATCTAAATTAAGTCTTGACAATAAACTTTCAATCTACGAAACAATTATAAAGCCCATCTGGACCTATGGCATCCAAAAGCCACATTGCTAAAATTGAGTCATTACAATCTATAATTCTTAGAACAGTAACCAATGCTCCACGGTATGTTCGAAATGACGACATTCGGAAGGACCTCCAAGTTAAAACAGTTTCTGATGAAATCACTAGTCGCTGCGACAGCTATCAAAAAGGAATAGACAGTCATCCCAACGAATGCAAAAGATCTAAATTAAGTCTTGACAATAAACTTTTAATCTACAAAACAATTATAAAGCCCATCTGGACCTATGGCATCGAGATGTGGGGCATGCCAAAGGCCACATTGCTAAAATTGAGTCATTACAATCTATAATTCTTAGAACAGTAACCAATGCTCCATGGTATGTTCGAAATGACGACATTCGGAAGGATCTCCAAGTTAAAACAGTTTCTGATGAAATCACTAGTCGCTGCGACAGTTATAAAAAAAGAATAGACAGTTATCCCAGCGACCTAACAAAAATACTGTATAAAACCAATACTGTATGCAGACTGCATAGGAAGCACCCAAAGGATCTTCTATCCTAACAGATGTTATCCACAGGGATAATTTCTACGTGTTAATTAACCAAACCCGATACTACAATTTACCGAATGTCCTTGCTGGACAAATTGTAAAGATTCTTGGAGAAAAAAAAAAAAAATTTATTGACGGACTCAGTGGAAACGTCTTTACGCTATTGAGTGTATTGGATATTTCAGCCGTCGTCTTTCGGTAGCTTTCGTCTAGCTACCGCTGCGCTAGACCGCCCCACATAAATTACTTGGTTGCAAAGCTACGCTATTTAATTCCACGCGATTCTTTGATTTTTCTGTCATAAATATGTTCCTCAATGTCTAAAAGATTCATAGAAAGGAAATATCATTGCGATAACTTACTTGGTTCCAGAGCTACGCTATTTAACCCTTTCGCGACTAGCGCCGGTTATATCCGGCATCCACTAAGCGCGTCGGCATTGGCTCGCGCCTCAACAACTCAAAGTGAAGATTTATTTTGAAATACAGAACAAGGCCTCAACGACATTCCCTTAAGTCCTCTGCTGTTCCAACGAAATCCTCTAAGATTTGAAAAAACGCGAGACACTCTTAATGTGTATGGTGTGCACTAATGGCACGACGACCCGTTCGTTAGTGGCGTACCGATGGCTAGTTCCGCCGTCGCGAATAAATTAATAAATATAATAAAAAAGTACAAACTGAGTAGTTTATTTACAGAGTGTTCTAAAGGACTGTTTCTGGGCACCCAAAAAGAAAGTTGGGGTCCCCTTATACCTAGGAACTGTTTACTTTATGGTATCGCATTGTGCAGTGCGTGACTCAAAGACGGGCACCCAGGTACATCTGGTGGAAGTCTTAGTGCCTTTGTTTAAAATAACGCGGAGACATTTTTGTCCTCACTTGATTATTTCCGTAGGGTGTTGTTAGAAATAATCCAACATATGCGAATTCATACTTTTATGAATATAATTAAAAAAAATAGAAGGTAGATGTGCAATTGCTTGTACTTATTAATTATTCGCTGAATATTACAGCGAGTGCTATACTTTCGATTTATTTAAATATTTTCGCTTATTATACGCATTCTGTGTATTTTTTTGTCTTCAAACTTTCCTTAACGCGTTGACTGCCACGCCGAAATCACATGTTTCAAAAATCAGAAATCACAAGCATGTCACAGGGGCGTTTATCTTTCTGGTGGTCACGGGTGATTACCACCGGTAATTAGCCAAAATTCTGAAGTACAACTGAAAATCTGTGCTGTCACCGCGGGATCCTCTTCCCGCAAAGATGGCCGCAGTTAACGCTACAAGTGCCTCTAATTTCTTCCCCGTTGTTCCTTATCCGCTCGAAGGAACACGGTAAACCAAAGCGTTAGCCTGAGGCTCCTCGTCAAAGGGCAGCTCCAAACACTGCACAGTGCAAATGTCCGTGTACTTTAACAGTCTGAAATTTTTAAGCGACAGTCGTACGAAGACACTGAAATTTGGAATTAAAAACGACGAAATTTTCAGCAAGTGTACAATTGACACAGATCTTAGGTGGGTGAGAAACGCCGTTGCACTGTTTTCACCTCAATTTATCAAGATCTAAGCGCGATGGTCGGCGTGCAATTCGCCCGGAAAATACAATCGTTTTATGCGTTAATTGTCCCGGCGGAAACGGAACCACTTGTTCCAAGTGGTGGAAACGGAAAGTCCTCGTGCAAACCTGGATGCCACATGTGCGCTTCTTAGGCTCATCGAGGACGAAGGCAAGTCTTAACCCGGGAAGTGACGAAAGAACGGAAACTAAAATCTGAAGGGGTTGGAAAAGAGGAAGGTTCGGTAAGGGCTTGTTGGCAGTGACGTACCCGTCACAGATCTACAAAACGTACTCTCTAAATTTCCGTTACAAGCCCGGACAAGAAAGTCGTAAAAAGCGACCTTCGCAATTTTTTCCAAGTTTGTTTTACACGTCAGGTGGCAAACTAATTCTTCTACCCTCTCAAGAAAACTCAAGTCGTTTTGCCGAATTTTACAAAAGCTACTCTATTTTCCAGGGTGTCCACATATTTCCACCCTTGACTGCGTGTAAAACGGAGAACGAAAGATTTAAACGGGCAAATAAGGGAGGCATTTAAGGAAACGTCGACAGGAAGTTTGCACTGGTAGAACAAGCTCGAGGTACAAGAGTTGCAGGACGGTCTTTTGGATGCTCGACCTAACGCTTAAGTGAACTTCGTTATCAAACGTTTACGTTGGCCTTCCGTGTAAACGTTTGCAGACGTCGTTTCGCCGCTAATTCGCGATCGGAACATCCACGACATTTGCATACTCGCCACCCACCGGAAATCCACCGGGTACAGATCGATCTGTTTGTTTACCGCGCCGCGCCGCCGTCGATAGTTACAGACGGAAGAAGCGGCTGCGTGATCGAAAAGACGACGAAAGGTAGCAAGACGTTGGTGTGTACGTTAGTTTT